AAAAGAAATGAAATCTTGCCATTTGCGACGACGTGGATGGAACTAGAGGGTATCATGCTTAGCGAAATAAGTCAATCGGAGAAAGACAACTATCATATGATCTCCCTGATATGAGGGAGAGGAGATGCAACATGGGGGGTTAATGTGGTAGGAGAAGAGTAAATGAAACAAGTTGGGATTGGGAGGGAGACAAACCATAAGTGACTCTTAATCTCACAAAACAAACTGAGGGTTGCTGGGGGGAGGGGGGTTGGGAGAGCGGGGGTGGGGTTATTATGGACATTGGGGAGGGTATGTGCTATGGTGAGTGCGGTGAATTGTGTAAACCTGGCGATTCACAGACCTGTGCCCCTGGGGAAAAAAATATATGTTTATAAAAAATTAAAAAAAAATTTAAAAAAACAAGCAAAAAAAAATTATAAATAACTCCTCAAACTCAACACCCAAAAAAACAGATAATCACATCAAAAAATGGGTAGAAGACATGAACAGACAATTCTCCAAAGAAGACATATGAATGGCTAACAGACACATGAAAAAATGTTCATCATCATTAGCCATAGGGGAGATTCAAATCAAAACCACATTGAGATACCACCTTACACCAGTTAGAATGGCCAAAATTAACAAAAAGACAGGAAACAACAAGTGTTGGAGAGGATGTGGATAAAGGGGAACCCTCTTACACTCTTGGTAGGAAATCAAGTTGGTGCAGCCACTTTGGGAATCAGTGTGGAGGTTCCCTAAGAAATTAAAAATAGAGCTACCCTATGACCCTGCAATTGCACTACTGGGTATTTACCCCAAAGATACAGATGTAGTGAAAAAATGGGCCATCTGTACCCCAGTGTTCATGGCAGCAATGGCCACAGTCGCCAAACTGTGGGAAGTGCCAAGAAGTCCTTCAACAGACTAATGGATAAAGAAGATATGGTCCATATATACAATGGAATATTACTCAGCCATCAGAAAGGATGAATACCCAACTTTTGAATCAACATGGATGGGACTGGAGGAGATTATGCTGAGTGAAATAAGTCAAGCAGAGAAAGTCAATTATCATATGGCTTCATTTACTTGTAGAACATAAGGAATAACATGGAGGACATTAAGAGAAAGAAAGGAAAAGTGAATTGTGGGAAATCGGAGGGGGAGATGAAGCATGAGAGACTGTGGACTCTGAGAAACAAACTGAGGGTTCTGGAGCGGATAGGGGGTAGGGGGTTAGGTAAGCCTGGTGGTGGGTATTAAGGAGGGCACATATTGCATGGAGCAGTGGGTGTGGTGCATAAACAATGAATCTTGGAACACTGAAAAAAAAATTATAAATTCACCATACTAACAATTAAGGAAGAAAAAACCTGACATAGTCATCTAAAAAAATTCATAATGAATTTAGAAATGAAATTCACACTCATGCAAGATTAAAAAAACAACAAAAACAAAACGACTCAGTAAACTAGGTTTAGGAAGGAACTTTCTCAGCCCAATTAGAAAAAAAAAATCACATAATATTTCAAGGTAAAATTTTAGAACATTCTTTAAAGTCAGGAAAAAGATGAAGAAGCCTCTTCTCACTCCCTCTTTTGAACAGTGTCCAAGTATCTGGTCAGAGCACTAAAAAAGAAAATGGTATCATGAAAGTGTAGAAAAGAAGAAACAAATACAAATGCTGATGCGAAGTTGATAGACATGTGATCACCAGGCAGAAGGGAAGAGTATCCCTATATGCCAGCAAAGACAGTCAGAAAACTGAATTCAGTTCACAATAGTATTAAAATCTACCCACAAATAAATCTAATAATCCCCTATTATAAAGAAAAGCATAAAACTGGACATGTTGATTTTAAAACACTGTGGTATTCATTCTGTGGTAGATGAACTGGCCACTGGAACCGACTAGAAACTGAGAAATAAACCCACTGTTATGTGGTATTTTAGTATTTTACATATCAATAGGAAAAAGATGAATATCTTTTGGCTCCAAATAACAACAACAACAAAAAAAACTTTAAAAAAAAATCGTATTTGTTTATTTGAAAGAGAGAGAGAGAGAGAACACGACTGGAAGGGAGGCTCCCCGCTGAGCAGGGAGACCAATGAAGGACTCGATTCCAGGACCCTGGGACCATGACGTGAGCCAAAGGCAGATGTTTAAGCCACTGAGCCACCACGTGACCTGAGAAAACCAACATTTTTTAAGTGGCTCAAACAATGAGAAGAAGTCACAAAATAAGATATTTGAACTAGGGTTCAAAGTCATCAAAGATCCAGGTTGGATCTGTCTTCCTCAGGATCTCAGTGAATTCCCTTCATTATCACAAAATGCTCATGTCATAAACATACATCAAGAAGCAGAAAAAGGAGATTGTTTCTTCATTATGTATATTCTGTCAGGGCAAAAGAAAATCTTTCCTAGAAACACTTCTAGCAAACTACCCTTTGCCTGTCTTTGGCTTGAACTGCTAAACTAATCATTATGTGGGGAAATGACAATGCCAGTGTACTCTAAGAGCAATCAGGATTTGCTTGAATCATTTGGGAAAGGAGAAGACACCAGAACAAAACTGGTGTTCTGCCAACATGAGAAAGAGGAAAATGACTCTTGGATCAGTAATTTATGATACAGTGGAGTATTCCATAAATAGTGTGGGGAGACTAGACTATCCATACAGAAGAAAAGAAAGCTAGATCTGAATAACACCATAAACAAATATAAATTCCATGTGGATTAAGATGTCAAATGTCAAAAGTTAATTTTCAGCAGAAAATACAGAACAATATGTTTTAAAATTAGGAGTAGAAATAGATTTCTAATATAAAATATAAATAAGCACAAATCATAAAGGATAACATTAATCAGCTAGACTACATTAAATTTTTAAACTTTTGTACAATATACTGGCATTAAAGTTGAAAGTCACACCACAGCCTCAGAGAAGTATTTGCATGACATAAGACAGTGCTTCTGTTATCCAACAGATAAAAATGGGCACAGTGTAAGAATGAGCAACTGACAGAAGAGGAAAACTAAGGAGTCCATATATACTATAAAAGATGCTCAACCTCATCAGTAGTCAAAGAATTGCAAACTTATATAAAGAAATAGCACTATTAATAATAGACCCATGATAACTAATAGACCCACCATTACTAATAGACGCACTATTAAAAAATGTTCTAATTTGATAAGACTGAGTCCTGACACTATGTGGGGAAACAAAATGTCATCCATGCCTAGCAGAAGGGTCAACTAGGTCAACCTCTTTCGTGATTACTTTATTAATATTTAGTAAATTCAACAATATGCATGGTCAATAATCTAATATCCTTTCCACAATATGTATCTTAGAGAAACTCTTTCACATGTACACCAAACCACATGGTCTAGGATATTAGCCACATTCTTTCTTCTTTTTTCTTCTTCTTTTTTTTCCCTCTCTCCCTCTCCACACACACACATACAATCAAATAGTATGGTATAGTTTAAATAAATGAACTAGATCTATATATGTCAACTTGAATTATCTTTAAAATATAATACTGAGGTGTGCCTTGGTGGCTCAGTGGGTTAAGCCTCTGCCTTCGGCTCGGGTCATGATCTCAGGGTCCTGGGATCAAGCCCCACATCAGGCTCTCTGCTCAGCAGGGAGCCTGCTTCCTCCTCTCTCTCTGCCTGCCTCTCTGCCTACTTGTGATCTCTCTCTCTGTCAAATATAAATAAAATCTTTAAAAAATAAAATAAAATAGAATGTTGAGAGGAAAACACAGGTTGTTTAGGAATATAGTACAATATTACTTACATAAAAAGTAAAACCCAGAGCACAATAGTCTGTAATATTTATGAATAAGTAAGTATTTAATAAAAATACAGAAACAAGGCATCATGGTTGTGATTACCTCTGGGAAAGGTAAAAGGAGAATCAGAGCAAGGAAGGGTATAAGTATCAGAGATGTTTCAACTTTATTTCTAGTTTTATTTTTTTAATGAGAAAGGATATAAAATAAATATTAAAAATGGATAAATTATATTGAGTCAGTGTGGAGAGTACAAATAGATATGTCATATTATTTTATCTCAGTATGAAATGCTTTATAATTTTTAAGTTTTTTTTTAAAGCTTTTATTTTTTCATGTGAGAGCACAAGTAGAGGGAGAGGCAGAAGAGAGGGATTTTTAAGTTTTCCATGAAAATATTTCATCAATCATGAAAAGGTCCTCATCCCATACAAATCACTTCAAATTCACTACATTCACAAATGTAATTTGTCTTCCTCCATCCTTTATTAAGCATCATTTTAAGCCACGTGCTATATGTTGTTTGAGGATTAGAGACTAGTTAGTGTCAGAAGAAATGTAAATAGTAGTAATAGTCAGCAAGGAGAGTAGCAAGGATTGAATAAAGATACCATGAGGATCAAGAAAGGTCCAAATGGTATAAAATTGAAAAGAGATTGGTCAAATGCTCAAAAATCATTCTTGGTAGTGAGTGAGATGCCAAAGATGTCACTGTCCAAAAAAAAACAAAACAAAACAAAACAAAACAAAACAAAACAAAACAAAACGAAAAACAAAAAAACATAGGTATGGAAAATTTCTACTGTAATTTTAATTTGGAGGCTCTTAGAGAATATGATATAGAGTATATGTCAACTATAAGACTTACTACTAAGACTACAACAAACATCAAAGTTTCCCCCCCACCCGGAAGCAACCATTTTAATTATTAATATCCCATGAACCTCCCATAGCAACATACCTGGAGGAGGAGTCTTTCAAAAGCCAGAAAGTTGTCCCACTTAGCAGTCTGAGGGTGTTTCAGAGTTTGAACTGTGGCCAGCCCAAGCTGTAGGAGCCCACAGTGATTCACTAAAGCTTTGAGGTTGTTCTTGAAGAGCTGAATATAGGACATGAGCTGCCCTGGAGTGACTCTCCCTGGAGAAACATAATAATCTATCAGTAGTAAACTCATGACAAGAATGCCATTAATAACATTACTGCTTCATATTGGCACAGAATTTCAGAGTTGGCTGTAAGCTTTCTTAAGCTATTGTGATTCTTACAACAACATGGTGACAGGAGCAAATGTGAAGCTGTTTCCTGCCTTTCACAGGTAAAGAAACAGGGGCACCTGAGTGGCTCAGTCAGTTAAGCATCTGACTCTTGATCTCAACTTGGGTCTTGATCTCAGGGGTGTGTGTTCATGGAGCCCACTTAAAAAAAAAACAAACAAACTGGGGCACCTGGGTGGCACACAGTTGGTTAAGTGTCTGACTTTCTGGCCTGCCAGGTCTCTGTGGATAAGTCTGCTGCCAATCGAATATTTTTACCATTGTATGTTACAGACTTCTTCTCCCGGGCTGCTTTCAGGATTTTCTCTTTGTCACTAAGACTTGTAAATTTGACTATTAGGTGACGGGGTGTGGACCTATTCTTATTGATTTTGAGGGGGGTTCTCTGAACCTCCTGGATTTTGATGCTTGTTCCCTTTGCCATATTGGGGAAATTCTCTCCAATAATTCTCTCCAATATACCTTCTGCTCCCCTCTCTCTTTCTTCTTCTTCTGGAATCCCAATTATTCTAATGTTGTTTCGTCTTAAGGTGTCACTTATCTCTCGAATTCTGCCCTCATGGTCCAGTAGCTGTTTAAAGATTCTATTTATTTATTTGACACAGAGAGATCACAAGTGGGCAGAGAGGCAGGCAGAGAGAGAGAAGTGGGGAAGCAGGCTCCCCACTGAGCAGAGAGCCCGATATGAGGCTCGATCCCAAGACCCTGGGATCATGACCTGAGCTGAAGGCAGAGGCTTTAACCCACTGAGCCACCCAGGCACCCAGTTGTTTACTTTCTTGTTATTAAATTGTGCCATTACTTTTATTAGGTCATCGATTCAACATATATTTTTGTGACAGACACTGTTCTTGCTGTTAGAAATTAGCCTGTGAACAAATCGGACAAAACTCTTTGTCCTCACAGTGAACAAATACAGAAGACAAATATATCTCCTTGATGCCCTTCTAATGAATTCAGTCTATTACATATCATTCTCATTTAGGGATGGAGGCCTTTTGTGCAGATGATAACATGTTTACACAATGACATCTTCTAATGCCTATTTAATATTAACACTAAATACGTGAAAAAAATTTTCACGTGAAATGGGTTCAATTCACGATTGCCATGACCTCCATGTACTTGTTTATACATTGCACTGCTGGTGATGGCAATTTGGTTCCTGGACACATAGAGCTTAGTCTATCAAGAGAGATATTCATTAAACAATTATACAAATAATTACTTAATCATAGTTGCAGTAATATTGCTAAGGAAAAACACAAAATGTCTTGAAAGCTTGAAAGGCCCTTTAGGATTCAAAACTGCCAAACTCTCCAACCCTGTCTACTTAACTAGGGAGGCAGAATTAAGCTCAAAATACATACAACCCATTTGCAATTTAACAGTTGTTTAGAAAGACCACAAGAAATGAAAATCATGGGTGCCTGCGTGGCTCAGTGGGTTGAGCCTCTGCCTTTGGCTCGGGTCATGATCTCAAGGTCCTGGGATCGAGTCCCTCATCGAGCTCTCTGCTCAGCGGGGAGCCTGCTTCCTCCTCTTTCTCTGCCTGCCTCTTTGCCTACTTGTGATCTCTGCCTGTCAAATAAATAAATTTAAAAAAAAAGAAATGAAAATCATCAGAGAAAGTCATTAGAAGGTCTGTTTAGATTTCTATTATAACAACTGTATGTTCAATTCAAAGATAAGAGTTTCTTTGATTAAAAACATAGTTGAACTTTTTATCCAGTTAGCAGTTCCTAGCTCGGCCTCTAGTCATCATATTTATGTAATGCTGCCTGCCCAGGTAAGGCGTGTGATCCAAAGGAACAAAGGAGTATAGAGAATTTGGTAACTGGAAATGCAACAACACACTACATTGTGAACTTAGTAATTATTTGCATTTGCTGCCCTATTCTGTTCCCCTCTATATAGTTCTTTCTTACATACAAATGCTAGTAACACATCATTAGGTATGTCTTGATACTCCATTAACATGCTACTTGGAATTCAGTAAAAAAGTACATCATATGGGTGCTTTAAAATACAGGCTATATTCCTGTAGCTAGGTAGCTAGGAGACAGTATGTGCCCCCACTGATTGAATGGGCCCTACCCTTTGGGCACCTTTTGGGTACCAATTCTGACCAAGGTGATAGGCTAGTTCAAATATCTACTAGGGTAAATTGTAATTCAATTGGTCATTTATGTGTGACCTAGCATGACTGTGCAGCTTTCTCTGTGTGTTACAATCTCATTGGTCACCTGTGCTTGGCCAGGCCCAACCACATGGCCTTTGCCCTTAAAAGCTAGTCTGTAAGGCAGAGAGAGGTTGCCTCTTTGCAAGAGACGGCCCTGGCTGGTCAGTTTGATTCTAGAAGCTTGGCTCGAAATAAAGCTTTGCTTGACCTTCAAAAAAAAAAAAAAAAATACAGGCTAGTGAGATTTTCAAAATTGGAAACCTAGTCACAACCTTACATAAAACAAACGGAAATCAACTAAACTGACTACCAAAATGCTACAGTGAGACTGATGACCTGAGAAAGCTGCTCTGTTCACATCGACTAAAAGAGCAAGCAACCAGAAGCAGGTGCTGAAAAAGTAATAGGAGGACATACTTACATCACAAAACAATCACAAAAGCGTATCGTACAGACTTACATGGTGATTTTAAGATGTCCATTCAGAAGGCCTTGTAACACAATTTTTAAAGCCATAAAAACAAAAGTTAGTTGATATCAAGACTGCAGGAGATGAGATTAAAACTCATCCCAAAGGGGGCACCTGGGTGGCTCAGCGGGTTAAGCCTCTGTCTTCAGTTCAGGTCATGATCTCAGGGTCCTGGGATCGAGCCCCGCACCAGCCTCTCTGCTCAGCAGGGAACCAGCTTCCCCTCCTCTCTCTCTCTCCGCCTGCCTCTCTGCCTACCTGTGATCTCTCTGTCAAATAGATAAATATTAAAAATATTAAAAAAAAAAACTCATCCCAAAGGATGAGTTTAGTGTAGAAATAGGAAATTTATTCATTGGTGGAACCAAACCCCTTAGGGAGCTACCCAGAGAAATGACACAAATCCTTTATTTCAGGAGATTGTATTGGTTCCGCTTCTGGCACGCTAGTAGACTGAAACTATCCTAATTCATGGTTTTCCAGATTCCTCTCCAAATAAGATTTGCAGGGATTAAGCAAAGAGTTGTCATCTGCCACTATCTCAGTTCTCGTTTCCTTTCTCCAGATCACCATCCCTGGCCACACATACAAATGAGTGTGGCTTTTATTGTGGAACTAACCTCAGCATGGCATTCTATTGCTTATATGAAAGGGTATTTCTTTTGTTTTTGCTCTTTTCCTATTAAAGGTGTTTTCTAAAATATTTTCAACAATTATTCTCCAAAAGAAAAAGACTACATAACATATAGCAACTTCTTGAAAGACGATGATCTAAAACCCGAGAAATCGTTTTCAAGTAAGAAAAGCTATTGGGCTTTTTTTTTTTTTAAGAGTTTTTAAGAAAGAGAAATAGGCTTCTTACTTAGATTTAGCTAAGAGAAAAACATAAAACTTTATCAACCATCAATTCTCTATTATATTTTTAAATCCTTATTAAAATATAATTATCTCTTGAGGGAAAGTGAACACATTTGGAAAATAAAAAGATTTAACATTTTAATTTTATGATCCTTATGATACAGAATTCAACTGAATTCAAATGCATCATGGAGGGGCACCTAGGTGGCTCAGTGGGTTAAAGCCTCTGCCTTCGGCTCAGGTCATGATCCCAGGGTCCTGGGATCGAGCCCCGCATCGGGCTCTCTGCTCAGCGGGGAGCCTGCTTCCTCCTCTCTTTGCCTGCCTCTCTGCCTACTTGTCATCTCTGTCTGTCAAATAAATAAATAAAATCTTAAAAAAATAAACAAACAAACAAACAAAAAAATGCATCATGGATCCTATTTTTTCATTAACCTCATACACTTGATAAATTATAATTTTCTCAACCTGTTTTGTTAAAATATATTAAAATATATTATTAAAATATATTTAAAATTAAATACATTTAAAATATATTTAAAATATATAACATATCAAAATATATTTATTAAAAATATTTAAAATATCTACACATATCTACACATACATGATTCTTTGTTGATATGCTTAAAATAAAGAATATTCTGTCAATGTCAGGTTTGATTTAATCATAAGACTGTCTTAATGGTAGAAAACCACCACCACCAGAAATTTTGTCTAAAATAGCGTATTTAGCTACTAAAAATTTTTAAAACCTCTTGGCATGAGAAATAATAAAAACTGTCATTGCACGTTTTTTATTCATCATTTTCATGAAAACCCAAATTGGAATAAACAAACTTAGGTGTTTCAAGTCTTACATTCCCAGAAGTCAGCATTTCATTTGTCTCTTTTTCAATCATTTTTCTAATATAATAAGGAGGCAGGACATTAAAATATTTAAATATAAGAGGTCCTGCTGAAACTCTGGTTTATTTGTTCATACACAATTGGCAAACAGAATAATTTCAGTATTACACAAAATTCACATCTGTTCATTTGTTGCTTTTTTTCTCATTACTTCAACATTTTGTGCCACCTAATAACAGCAGCTGAACACAAAGTAAACAAACACAGCTGAACACCGCAAGCCACGAGAGGAACCAAGCACCACAGGCAGTGCCCATGTGTCTCTAGCTCTTCCTCTTGGCTCCGCCTGGCCACGGGGCCTGTCTTAGAAGTGCTTCCTGTTTGATTGTCCCTGATCTTCAGTGCAACTAATAAGCCTCCACTCCTCTTCACATCCCCTTCCAGTGAGCTACTTTCAACGCTTTTGTTCACATAACGTCCTGTATAAGCTGTAACATTTCTTTAT